CCTGAGCCTTAAGCAATTCCTGCTTCACTCTGGATTTTTTTTTTTTTTTCTGGGGCAAAAAGAGTTGTCTTGGAGGAGGGGATGCACCCTTTGAATTAAACCCTTCGCTTTTCCACACCAGTTTCAGCCTGGCTTTACCCACAGCCTCTGACAGACTCAGTCCTGACCTCATGTGACCACCTTCAAGGCTGCAAGGCTAATCAGACTCCATGGACAATTCTCCCTGATGGTTTTCCACTGAGTCTGCCAACTAGTCCTAATTAGTATTAGTCACACTTATGATGGCAGTGCCTGTGGACCAGTTAAGATTAGGACTCTGTTAAGTTATGCACTGTACACTGCAACTGTGCTGTGGATACCTGCCTTCTGGAAATTGGTCCGACACACTACAGCTCATTTCCTATATATCAGCAAGCCCTGAGGAGGTAAAAGGTCTTGTCAATTCTAATTTGGCTTGAAAGATATGAAGAAAGGAGCATGTTTGATTGGGCAGCAGAAGAAATCCTTGGGTGAAATCCTGACACTGCTGAAGTCAATGGGAATATTACAACTGACATGAATGGAGGAGGAATTGCATCCTACTTTCTACACTCAGCCCTGCTGCCAACTCATTCTGAGAGCCCAGGGCTGTCACTGAAATTCTTTGCTCTTCAGTCTCCCTAACTATAAAATGGGAATAGTGATACTTTATGACAAGTACTGAGCACTATTTATAGTGTATTCTATTCCTAGGAATAGAAGCTCTGTTGCTGATTTGCCATGTAACAGGAATTTCTTTACAGAGGCAGTTCAAACCAGCTGAGGAGCCTGCAGCCCCTGCCACTGGAGGGAGGAAATGCAAGAACTAGAGGTGTGTCATGCTATGAACATATAGGCTTGAGCCCTTGGAGGAAGCTGCATGACAGGACAGGCTCTGAGGTACAACAGACAGCAAACCTCAGCACGTTCCACACAGAAACACCCAGCTGCACCTTTTACACGTACAAATTCCCCCTAGGTTGCATTTCTGAAAACAGGGAGGTTTCATTTGTTGGCGCCATCTGCCCACAAACCTACTTCCATGTTTTTTTCACAGTTTCTAAACACGAAATTGTCATAGGTCCACCCAAGTTCAGCGGCCTATTGGATTAAGACAGGGGTGGGCAAAATATGGTCCACAGGCCAGATCCAACCTGCCAACTGATTGGATCTGGCCCACAGGCAGGTGCCTGCCAAGTAAATGGATCCAGCCCTGGGGCAGGTGACAGTTCTGGCAACTGCATGGTGCTGGGCAACCAGGCCTGCCACCCATGGGGAAGCAGAAGCATGAACCCGCTTGCATTTGTAGCATGCTCCACCCCGAATGTGGACCTGGTAACTGCCAGCCACATCCACAGCTACCCAAATGCAGCTGGCAGCTTCTGGGTTGGGGCTCTGGGTACAAGGGAGGGAGAGGGGGCAGAGCATGCTATAGCTGTGGGCTGTGGCCAGCACAGAAGCCTGAACCCATGCACAGCTGTAGCATGCCCTGCCCCCCCACCACCGAGAGCCCTGACCTGGAAGCTGCTGGTTGCATTTGGGCAGCTGTAGCTGCTGGGTCCAGACTGGGGTGGGGAGGCATGCTACAGCTGCGGGCAGGTGGATCCAGCCATAGTGTGGTTATGCTAAAGCTGTGGGTAGGTTCAGGCTTCTGCACTGGTCACAGCTGAGGGGGGATGGGAGGGGGAAGGAAAGGAGGAGGGATGGCTCTTGACAGGTCACCAAAAGTCATTAAGTGGCCCACCAACCCAAATAATTGCCCACTGTGGGGTTAAGGCCTGCCAGTTTCTGTAGCCAGCAGTATCAAAGGGAGTGACACAGTTAGCCACTTTCAATTTCCCAGCTCAAAAGACCAGGTATCTGTTGACAGCTGGGTTGACTGGAGAAGGGCCTTGGGTACAAATATGGAGCATGGCTTGAACTCACACCTCTACAGCAAAACATCTATCTTCCTCTGCCACCACCCTCCATATATAAAAAAGGACCTTATTTCTGACAAGAGGCTGATATTTGGAATAGCTTGGAGGATTCATCTCCACAAGTCCCAAATGGCTACATTCATATAAAGGTTTAATAGATTAAGAGATGCAGTAGCCTTGCATGTTCATCTACACTGCTCCACTCTGCATGGCGTGCTCTGCTCAGCCCCTGACACTTTTCCCTGCTCCTGTCAAGCGATGAGTTGAGACTGGGGTCAGCTCAGAAAACAGGTTGACAACCTAGGCCTAAATCCTGTGTGCCAAGATCAGTCTACTGTTTGCTGCTGGAGATTGCAACAATGGCAGCAGGGGAGTCTGTCAGGTGCCACAGGGTTCATTAAGGACAAATAAAATTGTAACTTAAGCACACAATGTATGCCTGGCCTTGATCACCGTTGTATGAAAGGCAGAAAATTCAGGCACCAACTCAGCTCTGCAATTTGTCCTAAAAATCTGTTACTCTGTCAACTGATTCCCACAAACTGCAGGTAATCAGAAGCAATCTTTCCATCTGGCTGCTCTCCTCCCTCAGTGAAGGAGGCCAGCAGCGGTCTGTGTAATATGGCCTTGCAAGCAAGGCTCCATTGTGTTTGAGCAGCATCCCCACCCATAGTCCTTTTACCAGTGAGACAATAGAACCTTGCCATCCTTTTAGCAGTGCAGTTCACAGACTTGCACAATCCTGCACCAGAGCAAGCACCAGGCTGCAGGTCCATTGTACCAGAGCTACATGAAGCTTCTTTCATCCTTCCATATGTGCAGAATCCTTAGTTGCTCTTGTGCTTCTGCTAAGGCACACCAACCTGCTCTTTGCACAAGTTATAGCTACAAAAGAACATGACTGCAAAATTGAAACTTACGACATTAACCCTCAGATGCTCTTATCTGCAGAGCAAAAGGGTCAGAACAATTTCTCTTTTCACTGATAAAATTACACTATTTCAACTAATAAAATATTGCCATTTCTTCCCTGTTAGTTCTCTGGTGTCAATGGGACAAGCTTGTTCATCTGCCAGGGCTACAGCTGTTACAACAGGCTTGTTACAACAGGGCTACAACAGGGCTACAGCTGTTACAACAGGCCTGTTACAACAGGGCTTCTCAGTTACAACAGAAGTGGCCTTACCTGGCCTCTCCACGTCCCCACCAGCAGTTTCAGGCAGAGGACACAGTTGGTTCTTAATATTAACTTCAAGCAATCACAGGCAAATGCTGCCTACTGTTTACATTCTGTATGGAGCCTATGGTTTGTTGAACCTGAGTATAGTTTTTCCTATTGATTTAAGTGAAAGATGGTGAAATGGACTAAGCGCTGGCAGCTTCAAGTTTTTTTCAGCTGTTCATCATGTAGTCTTTGCCAGGCTGGGATGCGGGGATTCAGGTACAATGCAGTTTAGAGAACTTACTTTGGTCCCCTGTCCAAAGACATGGAAGTCAGTCATTTTTTTTCAAGTATCAGAAGCAGCATCTGCATTATTGAAAATAATCCATTTTACATGTAACTGGGATTTGTTCCCTTTTTCTCTCCATTTTTTTTTTAACCCCGCAAATACTCCAGGCAGTGTGGTGTCTCTTCCATTGCGCCATCAATCAGGGTCTAGAGGTACTTTCAGTGTCAGGGATAATCAGTACTTTGCATGTCTTAGGCTCCCCCAGCACAAACACAGATCCTGTGTTTGAGCCTCAATGACTCACAAGAGAAGTTCCCGTTCCTCTGACTGGCCTATTCCACAAACCTGTGTAAATCCAGTCATGTATGAGGCTTTGAAAGGGAAGAATGTGTGCTCTGGGCCTAGATAAAGTGCATGCTGGGATGCAAGACTTGGCCAATCAAACATTATGGTGTCTTCAACTGGCGTCGGTTCCACATGCCCCGTTTAGAGTGAAATCGGTGGAAGAAATGTCTCAGTGAGAGTCGTTCTACTTCCAAGCCAGCCTGCAAAATCCTGTGGAGAAGGGAGAGGAGGACATTCAAGTATAGCCTAGCTCAGTTACATGCCAGAAAGAAGGGTTGGCAGTGGGGGTGGCAGGAGTGTCTGAGCCAGGAGATGAAGTGTGGAGCTCCCCTGTGCAGCACTATATGTACCATTTACACTCTGTAATTTAGGGTTTGCACTAAGAGAGAGTGCTAAGGCTGAAAAAGAAAGGAAAGACCTGCCAAGACAAGTCCAAAGGTCTAGGCAGCATCCAGCAGGAGGTACCTGGCCTGAAGGGATGCCCTGCATCACAAACTTTCCAGAACACTTAACTTTGTCCCACGGACCTTGTATGACATTCCTCCTCATTAGGCACATCTACATGTGCCCTATGGTGCTTTTGTTACTGTGCCATCATTTAGTACTTCCTTTTGAAACTCCTAAATGATGGTGCAGTAACAGCCCGTACTGTGCCAGGCTGGTGGTGCAAGGTTATTTTTAGCTGCTATGTTGTCATAGCAATGCACTATAGTGAAGGAGCGTGTTGCTACAGTGACATAGCTGCGGCATCATGGTTTGTGCCCGTTGGCACTACAGCAATGTAGTGTCTCGTGTAGACATGCCCACTGTTACCTACTGGGTATTTCTTACATGTATTTTGGGAGAAGCTAAAGGCCTCCGCTGAGATCAAGACCCCAATGGTGGTGAAGTAGCAGGAAGTGGGGTTAAGTAAATCCAATGTGAACAACTGTGTATGTTTGTTGGCTACCTGTTGCATGCCAGGAAAGAGCCTGTAAGGTGCCAGGAGTTTGGAGGTAGCTCCCTGCTTTTCTGAACTGGTTACTATGACAGGATGGTGTAGTTGTAGTAACTCTTCTGGCCTGATCACCAAGGGACTGCTCAGAAGCATGTGACCCCTTTGTTGGGAATACATACAGAGTTCTTTTGTACCATCTGTTTCCCACTGCTCTCCTTCCCAGGTCACTGCCATCTCCAGGTCAAATGGGACTGCTCTCCTGACCCCATGGCCTGAGCTGGCTGCACATCATGCCCTACCTGTCCAGGAGTTCCCAGTCCTCTCCTCCCCAGCGATCCCGAAACTCTTTGGTGTTCATGCCCCCAATCTTATCCAGGTCAGACTTGTATATGCCCAAGAGACCAAATCCATTCACCTCCCAGTACCCTGTGGAGAAAACAATAAAGTATCAGGCATGTTTGCATCCTAGCCAGGAATGTAAAGGCACCCTTGTGTCTGTGAGCGTAAGGAGCATGGCCACAACCCTCCTGAACTCAGAAACCCTGATTAATTGGGTCCATGGCTCAAGTGCTACAGAAAAAGCAAAGGTGCTCCCTATTGCTGTGGCACAGAGAACAGAACACATGCTTGGCCCCTGTCCCTCTCTATAGGGTTTGTCACCTCCCTGGAAGACAAGGATATCAGCTGGAGAGGAATGAAGCAGGGACCTTAGCCTGCCAGGCAATCATCTCTCCCTGGCATCAGACCTGATCCAAAACTCAAAGGACACCCAAGCTTTTTCTGGTGCCCATAGGGACAGCAAAACCCAACACCAAGGTACTCTCCTGGAGTGTGCCACAGACCCTGGCTTCTTACCTTCAGGCCACTGTGGGGATGCACCACAATGCAGCCGCATGACCATGGGTGCAAAGGCCATCTTGCCCTCCACGCAGTGCTTCCGAATCGAGTCGATGATCCCTCTTGGGAAGTGGATGTGGAGATCGCATAGGAAAATGATACTGTGTGGATCCTGGAAGCAATGGCACAGGAATCTGTCATATAGACCTGACACTAGCTGCCACTAACCTGGGACCACTGCTGACTCCAAAGGGGGAACCTCCCTCTTATGGACACTCAGCAACTTGATCACCCCATGATAACTGCAAACCCTTTGGATTTTGCAGCTTCTACCTATTGGTATCACTGTCCACTTAGTGCCAGTTCATAGCCCTGTACTGTGCAGTGATGCGCAAAGTCCACTGTGCTGATCTATTCCACAGCCCAGATAGGGCTATTGCTGACTTGAAGTCACCCATCATCCTTGGGGTCTGCTCCTTCTTTATGCTCAGGCTATTTTAACTTGCCCTGGTGTGTAATTTTCACCCATGGCAAGACTCCTTTTACACTGGCAGACCCATATCAAGGGACTCAAGTCAGTGAGCTTGAGGCCCATAACTATCACCACCCTGGACCCAGAGGTCCTGACTAACTGGGTCCACAGTTTGAGTGCTACAGGAAAAGCAGAGGTGTACATTGCAGAGGCAGAGTCAATAGAAAATTTGGTGGCCTGTTTCTCTGTGAGGTCCATCACCTCCCTGGAAGACAAGGATTTCAGCTTAAAAGGAGCTACTGATCTGGACATGGATGAGAGCTCTTACTGCCCCTTGGCCACCCCATTCACCCCAGCTGCCATGCACTCACCTTCACAAGGTCTATGCCAGCTTGGAGCCCTGCTGAGCGTTCAAAATTCCCTGTCAGCTTCAAGTACTGATAACTGCTGGCAAGAAAGGGATTGGGGGGAGTCCATTAGGCACTCAACAACTGCTCCTTGAACAGCTCATTCACTCCCTAGCAGGTACCCCTAGCTCCTTGAATTCTTTCAGGAAAAGCAGGGAGATTGAGGGAAAAAGAAACTTGGTTTGCTGCCCTCCTCAAGCTCCTGGAGGTGTTCCTATTTACATCTGTGTGTCATTTCATTGCACTTTCACCCTTGCCTTTGATCTCTGTGCCACACGGTGAACACCTTCCAGGGCACAACAGACCTCCAGTGTAATCAAGGCCTGGTGGGCAAAGATGGCAGCTAACTGGAGACCTGTGCTCCAGGACAGACCTTGGAAGGGTGCTTTGAGAGCTTGGGATAACATGGGCTCTATTCACACAAAGCACTGTACACTGGTATCAGGCAAACTGTGTTGAGGAACAGCTTGTAGCTGGTTCCCCTGAAACACAAAGGCTGTTCCATTTCACAGTAACAAAGGAGGGGAAAATATTTTAACTATAAATCAAACAAGCACATTACTTCACATTTCAGTTGTGTGTAATAAGGTCATATTGGGCATTAGTACACATGAATGCACCGCAGCGCATGCATTTGTATAAACGGCAAACTGTGCATCAGCGCTGAGAAAATGGCAGCGGTGCACTTGTGAACTAAATCACATCAAAGGTGTTTTAGTTCAAAAGTGCACTGCCGTCATTTTCTACACACTGATGCGCATTTCACTGTTTATACAAATGCATGTGACGCAGCACCCGGCACTTCAGCTCGTGGTCTCCGCAGACTCCAACTTCATAAATCTGAATAGGAACCACTAGAATGAAAGTGCATCTGGATGGAGTGTACAATAGGTAGCTGTGTGGAGATACCTGATGACACTGTATGGGACTTATAGGTACGTGTGTGGAAGTAAATAAGTGTGTAGTGTCTCTGTTTGAGCATTTGAGTTCCTGTATGCCAGTGATTCTTAATCAGGCTGCCACAGATCTCCCCACAAGGGAGATCCTTTTGAAGGGTACCACAGGGTGTCACACACTGTTAGTGCTGTTAGGTGTGTAAACATAAACCCTGAGATTTCAAATAGGAATCCACAGTGTTAAAAACATTTTGACCTATCATGGTCTTTTTGAGAACTTTGCAACAGAAAAGTTGCTCTGTTATTTTGCTGTAATCAGAACAACAAGTGAAAACTAAGAGCTAGCATTTTCCAAGGGGTGTCCTGAGTCTAATGCCTTGAGTGCCTTGAGTCAAAAAAGGTAGAGAATCACTGCTGTATACAGTGCAGATGATCCATATACAGAGAGCTATGGATGTGCTATATGAGTAGGGGACATACAAAAAACTAGAACTCATGTGAGCAAGGGTTAACTTGTGTGTAGTTTATGTGCATATGTCGCCCTCTCACCTCTGTAACCGGGACCTCTTCAAAGCCTTCTCTACATCCATGTCATCACTACTGTAGTCTGTGATGATGACATTGAAGTGTGGGTCCTTGGTGACTCGGGACAATTCCACCATGTCAGAAATAAACTGCAGTACCCAGCGTGCCTGGTTTTTCACTTGTCATGATGGAGGAGAAAGAAAATGAAAGCAGAATTAGTTTCATGACTGGCAGTGATTGCAGCCTCCTGCCAAACCTCACTGAGACAGACTGGGGGTGCAAGTCAAGGACTAGTCTAGGAGTAGGCCCCATGGTGAAAACCTGGATCTGAAAGCCCCAAGTTTTGGGTCTGGATATTGGCTTTAAAGAGTGAGTCCACACCCAGGGCATTATGGGAGTCATATCGCTGGGTTTTCGTCCCACTGGTTGTTTGGGGCCCTGTTATATTTTTGGGGGCAGTTTAATCTAGGGAAAAGTAAATAGGCAGTGATGCCTGAAGGTGGGTGCAGACTGGCACAGTGTTCAGAACTACCTCCAGGCTAGGTTCCAGCACCAGGCAGCCCCTCTTCTCCTTACCTGGCACGATGAAGTGGACAACAGCATGATGGTTCCAGGAAAAGCCCAGTGGCCAGCACAGCTCCGGCTCACTAACCACGCCCATCAAGTGGCGCCGGCGGCCCCAAACCAGGTTCCTCATGTTCCTCTCCTGCTCATCACTACCAATGCCTTGCCAACCCCGTGCAAAGATGTACTCTGAGAAGCGGACAAGCCGCCCCCCCTGCTCCAGTAGCTCCAGCTCCAGCAGGTAGCGGCTCCCTCGTAGGCGGTCCTGCCGCTTCTCCACATTCACTATGCGCTGCAGCTGGAACCTCCTGCAGGGGCACAACTGGGTGAGGCACATTCCCCACACCCACATCACCTCTTCCCTCAGGCCTGCATCAACCACCCAGCCTCCACCCCAGCCACCCCCATGTCACTGTAGCTGGTTCCTCTTCCCAGAACATTATTAATCCCTTCATTCTCAGTCCACAGCTTTGCTTCACCCATGTCAGATGAGGTGGGGATCTTTTTTCATCTCCTGGCCCCATCTCTGATCACTTGGGCTTAGATCTGGGGTCCTAGCCAAGATCAAAGAACTGATGATTGAGAAGAAGTAAAGACCACACAGAAAATAGCTGTTTTAATTAAATAAAATTATTTTAGTGTTGGGAAGATGGATTTTCTTTAGTATTTTCATTAACGGCCTTGGCACAAGAAGGAGGAGTATGCTGATGAAATCTGTTGAGGACACAAAGCTGGGAGGTATTATCAATATGGAAGTGGATAGAAAAATCTTATAGGAAAAAGATCAAATGACCTTGAGCACTGGAGTAACAAAAAAGGGATGAAATATAATAGCACAAAGTGCAAAGTCATGTACTTAGGCATTAGCAATGAGAATTTCTGCCCTAAGCCAGGAGCTCATCAATTGGAAATGACAGAGGAGAAGGACTTAGTATTCCAGCTGATCATAGGATGGCTATGAGCCACCAATGGTATGAGGACTATGACAAAAACAAATGCAATCCTAGGACTCATCAAATTTTTACCAGATCTCACCTACCATGCCCTGTACAATTGTGGTCACCCAAGTTTTGGTTGAAATTCATCTTTCTTAAACAGGTACAGAGAAGGGTTACCAGAATGGTTAAGGGAATGGAGGATCTCTTTTCTGAAAGGAAACTGTGAAAGCCTGTACAAATGAATAGTGAGCAGAGACGTGTCCTTTCTAAATGTATCCAGAGAGTAAATTTCTGGAAGGGGAGAGAAGCATTTAGGGTATAGGATAACACTGGCACAGAAATGGGTATAATCTGGCCATGAATAAGTTTAGGTAGGGAATTAGAAGGTTCTTAAATATCATAGCCAGTAGGAACAACCTTCCAACAGATGGCAGAAATCTAACCTGTTTGTGACTGGGATTATATGATGTGGTTGCTTATGAGGCAGGGAATGGTACTTGAATGAGGAGGTCCATTCAGGGTCTACATTCTATGTTGTTAAGAGGTGCTGGAGTCACAGCCCCAGAAGTATCAGGTCACTAGACAGAGCTGGGTAACTATAGGTTCATCAGTGTGCCTTATTTCTCTTTGCAGCTAGAGGTTCAGATCAGTTCCTATGTCCATTTAGTGCTTGGCCCTTCTGATGAGACTGACAACAAAAGAGCCAGTGAGGAAGCTGGTTTTCACTGTGAAAATGGGACCTGGACTGAACATCAACTCATTTTACACCAATCACCAGATATCAACATTCAGCTTCTACTGGCCGTGGCTAGACAGGACCTGCTATGAAAAACTTTATGTCCCACTGGCAGCCTACCCTGGTGTTTAGCTCTCAGTACATTTCCTAACTTGGTACCTTCAACAGTCAGAGTTAACGCTCTTCTTCCTACCAGCTCCTTACTTCAGGCTATGGTTCCTATGCAGTGGGATACAGTAGCCCAAAGGAAGGATGGAGTTCAAGGGATTGCAAGAGACAGTGCCTTACCCTTTGTTCTTCTGGTTGAGCTTCTTTAGGAAGATGTGTGTGACCTCCAAGGCCTCCCTCTCTTTGAGCAGCAGGTTCCCTGATGTGTTGCACTTCAGGTCAATCCAGTCTGTTCGCAGCACATGGAAATCCAAGATGCTTGTGCTGAAGGTCTGCTCCCAGTTCACTACTTGGTCAAACACTGGCATGTAGTCAAATCCTTCCTCCTCCCCCTCGACTTCTTCTTCGATCTCTTCTTCTTCCTCTGCTACTGCTGGGTCTACAAGCTCATGCCTGTCCTTTGCCCGAGACTCTACTTGACCCTTCTCTACATCCGCATCAATGCCATCTGCCACCTTCTGCTCAGCAATATATGACTCCACTTGGTTTAGCCACTGTGCTTGGTAAAGAGTCTGTTTGCTGAGGCTGGCAGCACTTACAGCTCTTCTGCTGGCTTTACCAGAGACTGGGCTTTGTCTCTTTGCTTGTATGGTGCCCGTTGGTCGGTTCTTGGTGTTAGTTGAATTGAGAGCTCTCTGAGGAGGCCTTGCCCCTCTTGGTATCCTACTATCTGAGTCCCTAGACCCACCAGGAGAATGCTTTGAGGCATCCTGAGGGCTTGTGCTAGAGGCAGGACCTGGGTCTCCTATTCTTTTCCTGATGAGTGGCCTTGCACGGGTGCTCCTGGCATGCTGAGAAGGATATTTGGAATTGTCCTTGACCCCAGTTTTTAAGTGACGCCTCCTCATGGGTGGGTTTCTTTCCATACTGGTTTTGTTGATGCGTTGGTTGTCTGAGGTGAGGGTAACTGCCTTCATATAGGGCCTCTTTCTCCTCCTGTTTGGGACTGCCTCCTTCACATTGCCATTTGTGAGTGAGAGGGGCTTCCTATGCCCCTGGAGGGAGTAGTCGTTGTAAACATCATCATAACCCATCACTATGCTGGGGTATGCCTTGCCCACTGCCAGCTCTGCCCCCTGCTTGCTGAGGTTTGTGTCCTGGTCCACATACTGAAACTCATCAGGGTTCCCTTCCTCATAGCCTGCAAAGACAATCACAGTTACACCTCTGACTTCTCTGCTCCCCTGCTCCCTGAGCCACACAAAGGGACAGGAAGGGAATAACTGCTCCCTCAGTCCAGCAGCCAGTCCATTCTATTAGGGGTGCACTGATAAAGATTTTTTTGGCCGGTACCGATGGCCAATTATTAACAAGCTATATCGACTGATACCTATCTGATTGCCAATATGAAGCCCAGCAGCTTATAGAGCAGCATGTGGCTGGTAAGTCTGTTGGGGAGGAAGGGGAGGGGAAGTGGGGTGGGAGGGGCAGATCAAGGCCTCTGCAGTGAGGGAGGCTGGGGCTGGGCACAGGACAGAATCACAAGCGGCTCAGCTGGGGGACATGGGGGGTGGCTCCTGCCATTGCACACATTCCTGGGGAGCCTTGGGGAGCATGTGCCAGCAGATCTGTGCACAGGATGAGGGCAGGCTGCTGTTGCAGGCTGGGGATGTGGGTAGTGCCAGGCTCTTCTTGGTAGGAAGGGCTGGGCTGGGGCTGTGCTCGGGGCGAGTGGTGGTGGTAGCGCTGGGAGGGGGGGCTACCACCCTGTAGCCCCCCTCCCAGAACTGCTGCCACCCAGCCCAAGCACATCCCTGGCCCAACCCCATTGCCAGGAAGAGCCCAGCACTGCCTCAGTCCCCAGCCCGCAGTGGCAGCTTGCCCTTGCCCCACACATAGATCGGGGGGGCATATGCCCCCATGGCTCCCCTGGGGGTGCATGCAGTGGCAGGAGCCACCCCACCCCTGTGCCCCCCGGATGTGCTGCTTACGGCTCTGTCCCACACCCAGCCCCACTCCCTCCCTCACTGCAGAGGCCTCAATCTGCTGCCTCCACCCCTTCCCTCCCAACAGACTTACCAGCTGGACACTGCTCTCCAAGTTGCCAAGCTGATCATATGCATGCTGTGGCTATGCATGCACACAACATTTATTGGTGACATTTTTGGCCACATCAGCGAAAAAAAGTCGATTGCTGATAATGTCAATTTTCCTTTTATCAAAGCTGATATGATATGGACTGATGTATCAGTACACCTGTACCTTCTGTGCATCCCCTTTGCGAGGAGCATCCTCTTGCCTGTTTTTAGTCACTATCTAAGTTGGAGTGCTGGGTACTCTGTCCCCTACAGCCACTGGGGCTTCTGGGGAGGGAAAGCTGAGCTCCAGCTTGTACTAGTCACATTGCTGTTTATGGACCTATCCCCTCCCACTCTGACACAGCCCTTAGGCATATGCTGCTGAGTGCCACTTTGGCTGATCCAACCTGCCTGGAACTGAGCTGTAATGTCCTGCCTATGGCTAAATTGTGGGCAGGAAGTATAGTTCTCACTGCAGCCGCTACAGCCTGCTTGTGGCACATGGCACTTGATACCATCCAGCGTGGCACTTCCCACAGGGCTGACAGCAAGGATGGAGGGCTAGGTACTGAAAGGAGTGGGGAGGAGGTTGAGGGCTAGAAAGCGTGCAGCAGGTTTTGACAAGGATCAGGCTGCTGAAGCCTGAGCTGTCAGCAGTACCCTTCAGTAGCAAAAAATCCATCCTTTGAAGGCCTTAGGCAAAATTATTAGAAAAATATACAAATCACCCTGCCTGCAATTTCACAAAACTTACTGTGAGCCACAGCTGTGGTCTCTGATGTGTGTTGGCAAAGGGCTTTTCAGCATTCAAGTGACCAGCTCTTAGGAAGCAAAATCGAGGGCATGTATCCAGATGCTCCACAGACATATGGAACCAGGAGTAGCTGACTCCCCTTCCAGTTCTGGTTAGCACAGCTGCCATAGTGTGAGTGCTGTGGATAGGCTACATACCTCTGCTGCTTTCCACTCAGAAGACAGTCCATGGTTGCTTTCCAAACCAGAAAGGACAAAACTGTATTTGTGTGGCACTGTGACAGAGTTAATTAACATAGCCCTGTTTGTGCAGCACTGAGAGACAGAGATAATTAGCCTGTGGTGCTGTGCTGCAGAAATGTGGTGCTGTGGCTATCTCCTGATCTCAAAGCAGCAAAGCTATGTCCCTGTAGTATCACGCACAGTTGTTTTACACCCTCTTAGCAAAGGCGGCGGGGCCTTACCTCGCAGGTTTTCAAATCTGGGATGAAAGTTCTGTCCCAGGGAGTCCCTGGGGACACAGGAACACAGCCCCAAAATTCGGTACTGTCTTGGAAACTCTGGGACAGTCACTTCTTTGACCCAGAGCATGAAGTCAATAGTTTTTCTTTTTGTCATTCCTGGGGATTGCACAACATTGAGAGACAGACAGAAAAGTCTGCCTCTTTCACTGGTTTTTACCTGGTTGCTCTGTTTTCTCCTCAGACTCCAGATTTCCCCTCTCTGGCTGGTCAATTTTCATATATTTATAGAATCCAAATCTGCAGGAGCAAAGACACAGTATAGGCACAACTGTATGTGACAGAGTATTGTTTCTCTGCTGGAAGACAGATCATGGAAAGTGCCATTTCCCTCCCACCCTCTATTGACATACAAAACACTGCTTCCATGATACCATCACATCATTATAATTACATTACCCTGACTCTTAGCATCAACAGGTCCTGTGAGTCTGGGAAAGGTGTGAGGCCACACTGTCTCCCCAGCAGGGAGCTCCACTTGCTGGTGAGGAAGCTCTGCTGGCAAGTACATTTCCCAGTTCATCAGGGCAAGACATTCTGTTTAACTCACCAGCTTTCAAGCCTGATAGACTTAGCAGCTCAGGGGTACATGTTCTTTCAGAGTTCAGAGTGTTTTCATTTAAAAGGTACATCAGGAACAGGAAGAACTGAGCACCTCAGATGAACACCTGTCATTCCATTAACATCAGTGGAGATTCTGGGGGCTTACCAGGATGGTACTTGAAGAAGCCAGAAGCCATGTCCACACAGTAAACTTACTGTGCATGGCCAGGGCCCCCTCATGCATGCTTGAGTGGAAGTAATGAATCAGTACTGACTGGTGGTCTAATTGCTTTGGGGGTGGCTAATTGGTCCTGTCACTCAATAGTGCTAACCAGCCCACCCAAAGTGACATGTGGCTGTGGCTGCTTCTAGTTTGGGAGGCAGCTTTCCCAACCTGCGCTGTGGACTTGAACATGCATTGTGCGCTCAGTTGACCAGGGTGAGTTTCCTGTGTAGATGTGGCTAGAGCCCTACAAGTAGGCATCTAAAGTTCCACCCCAGTCCCAACACCAGCCCCAACTCATGCTAGACAGCCAGCTGGGAGGACTGTGTTACCTTTCCAAGTAATATGGATTTTCCTGATAGAAGCATTTATTGTCCATCTCCATATGGCTCAGGCGGCTGTAATCATTTGGGTAAACAAAGGACAAGTGAACCTGGAAAGAGGGGAGAAAACCATGCACAAATGAAAATGATACCTGGAGATGTCACACACACAGGATAGATAGCTGAGCCCTTTAAGGGGAAGTTCATTGGTTAGCTGCCCCAAGGTAGGACCTCATACATGGTGCCAGACTACTCTAAAGACCAAGGCTGCAGTAGAGAAATGAAAGCAGGAAGGAGCAGATAAGAGGTGGGGACAGGTGTCTGGAGAGAGTGGCATGATGCTGGGAAGACAGCAGGTGCAGAGAGAGAGACACAACATGGGTTAGGAGAATGCTGTACAGTACGTGTGATCCACTGATCAGACCTGACGGGGCTACAGAACCTTGCTGAGTACAAGGCCTGTGCGGAAGCTCCTGGGTAATAGTGAGGAAGACCCAGCTCATTTGGGACAGACTGAACCAAAGAACAAGAAGGTTGATTTTGAATGAAGGTTCCCAGGAGAAGAAGCCTGGCAGGCAGCAGAATTTGAGGTGAAGGAGTGTGGGGAGTGTAACACTGTTGGGGAGTCTTGAGAAAGCCCTGATGTGGAGGTGTTGGGAGAAGAGTGGTGTGAAGGGTGGAGGATCAGGAATGTGGGCAAAGGGCAGAGAGCTGCAACCTGTCCCACTCTATATGGGAGAACTGTGAGATGTCTTCTTATGAAAGAATGTTTTATTTTACATGATTAAACTACTTCTGGAAGCAGGGCTTGATTTGACTCTAAGAATAAAAGTCCTTTCCCAGGCAGGGAAGAGGTGACCACTGGTCTGACCCATGGAGGAGAAGGCAGACAATACAGCTAGCCCCTGCGACTGTAAGAGAAACTGAAGTAGTACTTGCCTGTTTTGCCACACCTGTCTGCAGAAGAATGCCTGTGAAGGGTGATTTGTGTGACGTTATTGAAATCCAGATCTGAGCTGTCAGAAAGCAGTCAGGCCTGGGATTTGGGACTACCCCATTAAAGCAACAGAATGTTTAGCACTAGAGGTAAAGACAAGGGTGACTTGCTACATTTGGAAGTTTACCTAAATGAGGTCTATTTGGAGCAGGGCTTTTTGTCTGGGGTTCTTGTAGCTCTGTTTATTGCATGTCTTTAGAACTGACTGGGTTGGGAGATATGTGTTTTAAACTACCCATTTTCTTTATGGGTAGTTGTTTTACACCCTCTTAGCAAAGGCGGCAGGGCCTTACCTCGCAGGTTTTCAAATCTGGGATGAAAGTTCTGTCCCAGTTCTGAATTAGGAAGGGAGAGAACCGGTGCTGCGTCATGCAGAAGGGACATCCATCCCACAGAAGGCATCAGCTATTGGCCTATTCCCAGACTTTGGAAAGGCCCCATATTCCAGTCAGGCATTGCCCTCATGTTCTAAAGCACATATACTCCCTAGTGTGGCACGGAGCACTTGGCCAAACATCTTCGTTAGAGGAATGAGACTTACGAACTGGAGTCCTTGATAGCGTGATAATGGGAATCCATTCACCAGGTAGCTGGGTTTGTAAGGGCAGTCCGGCAAGGTCTTACGCAGGTGTGACTTACTAATCAGAGGCACTACAAGAAGCCAAGAGGGACAGAGACACAAGAATTACTTGGACCACAAATCAAAGCAAATACACCCTGCACCGATAAAACAGGATAGCTATTGCTGTGGACACTTCTATCCATTAACCCGTGTGCTTACTGGGTTCCTCCCTGTATACTAATCTTTTGGATTTATATGAACAATTTAAACCTGAAAGCAATGTTAGAACTGGATTTTGAAAGAGATGACATGAGTATGGTTTATCCTTCATATTGTAGCTCTCTTAGGTATCCTGAAATGACAGCTATTTCCTTCTCCATATGAGATAAATCTGGTTGTTAGTGACCATGTGGTCCTCACTCACATGATGTGACTGGCTGCAACAGTCTCCATTTGTTTGGCAGCCAGTCTTACCTTTATAAATAGTGTCCCGAGGGTCAGGCTTCAGCATGTCAGCTGGGTGTGTCTTCTTGCTCAGACTGGCAGTAGACTGATTTGTATGGCTGGCCAATGTCTGTGGTATATGTTCAACTTCATCCATCTTTAAGAGAGTCTCATCTAGAAACCAGCAAGAGAACAAAAGGAGGAGGAAGGACTAATCCATCACTTTATTCTGAGTGTCATTTCATTTGGTAACAGCTCCAGGAGCACCCCCTCTCTGAATTCCAGCCCATAAAATCTTGGCCTCTTGTTCCCAGCATTATTAATTCATATTTATGATACAGTAGTGTCCATATAGCTTTGATCAGGAGTGAGAAATTCACAGTAGAAACTAAGAAAGAGACAGTACCAGACCCTGCTAGAAGTCTAAAAAGTATAAGCCCAGAGGAAGGGTGGTGGGGGAGGCAGGGAGGGCAAGGGGAGAAAGTAAGTGATGGTTGAATGTGGTGACAATTAAGACATGTTTTATTGTTTTGAAATGGATAGTGCAAAAAGAAAAGGGGTGGGGTGGCATATGCAATACTGTCTTACACCACCTCCTCTAACACAGAAGGAGTTAATAGGAACTCAGCGCTCAATTAGCCTTGGCAGCTAAACACCTCATGTGGCAGTGAGTCAATTTATCCAGTTACTGGACACATTAGCAGAGGCACTGGGACATTTCAGTGGGAGAACAGGAAGAAAAGTGCTGCAGAAGTGGGAGGGGAACTTGCTCTTGTGTTACCCCTGGAAAACCCCCTTGCAGGCCAGTGCTCCAATACATACTGAGGGGGCGCTTGTACACATGGCACTGAGACAATGTACACACGACAAAAATTCCCACGTGTGGCTTAATGGTGTCACACTGTACATGTATGGGAATTTTGGGGGGTTTAAATTAGTTCTCATTGTTACAATCTAAACCACATCCCAATGTAGTTTAGTTTGCTATGTATGCAAAACGCCATAAATCTGTCACACGTATGTGGTAAGTCACTAAATTACGTGTAGTGAGTCCCTTTGTCCACTGGGTGTTGCTACAATTTTTGTTTAGTGATCCCCCTTGTCTACCAGGTGTCACTACAATTTGCAGGTATTTGTGTGTAATGAATGTTTTAGGATACCAGGTGTAGCTGCAGAAGCCAACATGAATCAATCTTCTGCTGACTTCTTTTCTTACTACATTAAATAAATAATTAAAAAAAAACTTTTTTGTTTGTCGTCTCCTATTTTGCTGAACTGACAGCTGGATGTCCTAGGGTGTGTTGTGGAGGTTAAAGATTGGAGATTGATCAGTGTCTGCTGTGTATGTGCTCCCTTCTCCAGTATTGGGGATAATGCAGTGTGTTGTGTACCCTGATCCCCTCAGCGCTATTATAGAAATATTGCACAGTGAAGCATGCTATTGAAGGCTTCTGCTCCAAGCATTTAACACCTAATAGGAGATTAATAGGTCCCCAAAGTCCCTTGCTGTCCAGACAGCTGTCCAGCTCTTTTCCAAAAACAGAGTAAGTGAGCTCTGTTCCTGTTGGTGTGATCTGCTCTGAGCATTTAACACTTAATAGGAATTTAATGGATCCTTAAAGTTCACTGGGCTACTTTAACATTCATAGCAACAGTTTTTGGCTGAACAGCCTAACTGACCCAGAGGACATCCAACCACCCACCTCAGCCAGGTAACCAAGAAGCACAGGTCTGGCAAGGAGGCCTGACTACCACCATCCCCCCATTCTCCACCACCCTATTCTTGTCTCGCTTTCCTGTATACCCTTCACCCTTCCCATACAAATTCCCACAGTGGTGATGCTACTGCCATCCACTGTGGTGCTGCTTCCGCCACCCACTGTGGTCATGCTTTCACTCCCAACTTCCCTCTACCACCCCCCAATTTCCCCCCTCCCCATCCATCCTAACATCAGGAACAAAAGCCAGAAGCAGAAGTGGAACCAGCGGTAAGTTTGCTGTTGGGGGTGGGGGATGGACTTGGGCATATGGTAATAGGGGATAGCATGAAAGTATAGGTTATAGTACATTGGAACATATCAGGCTAACTGCCATCACTCTTCTAATTGCCCCCTGCCTGTGCCTCACTTGAGAACGGCTGATGCAGCATCCCAGACCCCTGCACAAGGTTATTTGGCCATACCCAAGTGCACAGGTATGCCCAAAGAAGACTTGGGGAAATCTCTCATGGGAGATTTTGTATTCTGTAAGGGGAGGTGAGGAAAGTGAGTTTGGAAGTATGGGGCAGCCCTCCCCCCATTTTCTTTAGCTTCCCCTGCAGCACGACCATCATTTGTGAAGAGGGTTGTCCCTGCTCTGCTGGGACTATGGTTTTTGAGAGGGAGAAGACTCTGAAGGGGGCATTTTGGATCTTTCCTTTTATTTATTGCTTTCTAATTGTGTGATAGGGGACTGGGTATTCAGCAGTGATTCTGTGTTTGCTGTTCGGTTGGTTTTTAATTTATTTATATTTGAATTAAAGTTTTATTTGGTAAGTTTCTGTTTTTTCAATCAAGGTATGCTTAGCAGTGCTTTAGTGATCGGTGGTACATCAGTCTTGCTGGTGGTGGCTACCGTGGGTGGTGGGGCTCTCCCTTAAGAGGGTGCTGGTATGATTTTGTTGTGGGGGATGCTTTCAGCTGGGAGGGGTGACGGGCTGCCCTTGGGGTTTGGGGTTTGTCCATTCAGTCCTCTGCTCAGCACCTGCCTCTTTTCCACTTTGTGCTTGACAGATTTCACGGGTAATCCCCCAAAACCCCAAAACACCAAGTTTTTAGAGGAGTGGTGGTTACAGGAAACAAGTCCCTCTGGGATCAAGACTTCTGTGGCTCCCCACCACGCATCTCTAAAATATCCCTTTGTGGTTCTCTATGGCTTGACTGTCCCTCATAATGCCATTAATTTGCTCACTGCTTTTACATAAAATTGACAAGGGGGGTTCATTGAACCTGACTGCAAACCTAAAGCGTGGCCGTTTTATGAACAGCAGGTACACACTGTCCCATGGCATCCCAAACAAGCATGTTGCTATGAGTCCAGCCAGAGCCCCCCTTCCTGCTTGACCAAGCCTTGCCCCAAAATAATCCAGGTGAACCCTGTGACTGGGTCAAAAGTTGCAACAGTTGCAGAGCATGTCTGCTGTCCAAACTTTGCACAGGCACTACAGGGTTGGAGGCAGGTGAACTTCCCTTGGCCAGGTCACCTCAAGGCCTATACATTGAGTGCACAGCTCCCTGAGGTACCCCTTATTAATCTGAGGACAGACTAGAAACTCTATTCTAGTTCTCTATTCTAGAAAAAAAAAACCCAGCAGGAAGAACCATCTCAGGAGGTGGAGTAGAAGCACCAGAGGCAGGAGGCCTGTGGGGTATGAAGGGGACAAGCCTGCGAAAGGAAGGCTGAGGCCACAGCAGGCTCATCCCACAGCCCGGGTGCAATAAAGTTGTGGTTTGTTCACTTTGTGTGATAAAAGATTGTATATGACTGGGGTAGGCTGGGAGAAACTCCAGACAGCAAAGGGCAGCAGGTTTAAAGACTGCATGCTACTATGGCTAGCTGAGAGATGCTTAGCCAACGGGTAAAAGCCTGGCTGAATAGGCCCTGAGGCAGCAACCTGCTATAGGGATTTTCTTTAAGTGTGGGGAGGGGGAGGTGGGTGTAAAGGAGCACTGGGGAGAAGCCCTGGGTCATCTTACTCTGAAAAGAAAAGAACAGAAAAGGAATCCCAGGATACAATCTTGATATCAAACACTATTTGTGTCACTGTTCACTTCATTTGGGAGGATAAGGATTCACACTATGGGAGTGGGATCAAGCATGATTTGGCTGGAAGGATGAGTCCTAAAAGAGACAGCCTGCTGCCAGGCCTACAGTGGCAGTAGGCAGGAGATGCCAGGGGAAGATGCAAGTTTCTGGTGCCATTCCTAATGACGGGGATGTGCTGGGCTCACATTCCATGGGCACTTTGTAAGAATAAAGCAGAAGTAAGAGGAAGAGAGGAGACTAATACCGCTCATGCCTAGGCATGGTTACTTGGCCAGGTTCTGAAAACATGGCAGCAGGATGTGGGTCTCAAAGAAGGCAAAACAGGGGCTGTCTGAAGGACACAAGGAAATTTTCTACATATGAAAAGAGTAGTTTGGGACAGTACCCAGAGGCATTTGAGAGCAAAGCTAAAGTTGGTGAATGGTAAAGCCTGAGAACGTTGGCAAAAAGGAAGTGAGGTTCCTAGAGCAGCAGCGTGAATGGTCTTAAAGGTAAAAGCAAACTTTGTATCCAATATGAAGGAGAGGAGGAAACTAGAGGAAAGACTTCTGGAAGAGGATGGGCTGATGGGTGACAATTAGAGCAACAAGCTAGTAAGACACTTACAGCAGAGTTGGAATGGGTTGGGTGTGGAGGCTGCTTGCAGCAACAGCATCCTCTGACATTTTCAGCAGCTTCCCAGTCCAGTATCCAGCATGAAGTCTCCCTGTAGTCTTAGAAATTACCCACAAACCCAACCTCTTCATTCCTGACCATCCCTCGGCTCTTGAATTGTAGACTCCTTTGGCCTTCACATAGCAAGCAGCAGATCTTTGTCATGTGTTACTTTCACCATCTGGAATGGTTTCTTCCTTGCCATGGTCAGATCCATCTCTCCTCTCTGGTGACTGACTGACTCCAAAGCTCTCTAAACAAGACTAAAAACCCACTCCCTGAGCCTCTCTGGGTGTGTCTACACATAGCCCTACAGTGATGTAGTGATGCACTATGTTGCTGTACAGCACGGTATGACAGTGTAGCGATCACATAGGTCTACACAATTGCCAGCTACATCACTGTAGTGGAAAAATCTAACCATGCACTGTGTGCGCAGCACAGTAACCACCCATACTGAACCATGCTTTAGTACTTCCAGAAGGCAGTACAAAAACACACCACCATAGCAATGTCGCCATACAGCAATGTGTAAATGCACCCTCTGTGTTTGATACTGTTCCACAAAATTGGCCAGAGTTCTCCCTGTGACTTCTACTTTAAACCTCCAGCCAGTGCTTGTAACACTGCTTATCCATAACATTATCTGTAGTGTCTGAATGGACTGTGATCAGCTGTGAAACACCTGTAGTGCTGTTAAATGAACAGTGAGGAACAAAGACAAGGCTATGGTGGGGATACTTACTAGCAAAAAGCGAGAGGTATTGGGAGTCTATGATGGTCAACTTGGCTTCTGGGTCATTCAGTCGCCACTGCAACAGAAAAAATAAATATATATGAAGTGCTTATGGAATTAATTTATTCAGCAGAAAAGTACTGGGTGTGCATCTGTTTGTAACCATGTGGGACCTCTAACATTCCCTTCCCCAAATTAGTAGAATCTTCCTCACACAGAAAGGGATTAGGAGAAAACCTACAATCCTGGTACTCAGCCTAAAAGCAGGAAAGGATGAAAAATGGCTGAAGAGAGAAGCTAGGGATAGAGTGAGGCTGTCCCACACAGAATGAGAACAGGGATCCAGGAGACCAACAAGGCTGTCCCACACAGGACAGGGTAAGGGATTGAAATGGGGGCAGGGATATCCCAGGAAGAATGGGGTCAGGGGCTGTGAGTGGAGTCCAGTTGTCATCAAGCTTTCCTCTCAAGCCCCATCAGTGAATGTGCAGGACATGGTTGGCCAGGCACACTTACCGCCACCTCCACATGATCTGTTCCTTTGTCATCCTGTTTATGCAGCACCTCAAAGTAGTACCTGCCAGACGCTGCTAATCTGTAGAGGAGAAAAACTCACATCTCTTACTGAACATCTATACTACCTTGGGCTGTGGCTTTGTTTGCTCTTAAACTAAGCAGGACTAGGTTTAACCTGTCATGGGATGGGAAATACAGATGCTGCAGGCAGGATGTGCTTACAATTTTGTAGGGGCACTCTTTTCTTTGAGAAAATGTTCCCAGCTAGAATTTTTCACACCCTCTCCTCAAAGCAGCAAGGTGATCCTCTACCTCCAGCTAATTATTCTAGATACCTGAATGTTAATCTTGTCTGCTGGGTTTGGTGTATCAGGACTCTGTAAGTCCTGGCCAGTTGCTAGGTGGAAAACTCTGGAGAGTACTTTTGAGATTCTGGAGGAGTTTAGATTAATTTAATTTATTCTTACCACTTTAAAGTGAGAGAAACACAAAACCAGTCTTCAGGGAGTTCTGACAGGCAGCCACCAGGGGGCAGGTGTTAACCATTTTATCATACACTGGATGCATTGGGTAAGCATCTGAGCAATTTTATAATAATTTTGGAGATTTCCCATTATTAGGTCTCTTCCCCAGCTTCAAATATTCAAAAATCACAGGTCCACAGAAATCATAAGTAAAATACCGGATTCTTTCCTTACTTTCTGCCATATCTACAATGTCTAGGCACTTCCTTGCCATTTTTCCCAAAGAAAAAGCTAATGTGCTATCCCTCATCTCCAGGAATTGAGGCTCTCAACAAAATACCAAACAATATAAAAGCTGACAACACTTCTTTCTCTGAGCACTGGATTCCTCATCTACTGGGATCCTGGATACTACAGCAAAGAACCTGAAGCACATCAGAGTATTACCAGATCTTGGACTATTAGCCCTAGGCTTTCAGTAGGCCACCTTGGAACCCTGGGTTTCCCTGCATTATGGCCTGATGCCTAAGATCACCATTTTGGCCAATCTATTTTGTATCTTGTAACTCAGCTTTGCTTCTCTGTTCTCGCTCCCAAAGCTGTAGCCTCTGGTTGCTTAATGAAGCTCCAAGAATGCTTTGGTGTTGGTCTCTGTCTACTTGGTTCTTAGTGGGGCATTCAGCACTTTCTAGAAGAGATAAGTAAAGTTGCTGGGGCTGGGAATTCTACAGGCCTGGGGAGAATATCATTTTCATGCAGTGGTAGGTGTTACTGGGATCATCTGGAAACAGAATAGGTACACAGTAGAGGGCATGGCATCCTGTGGCACTAGGAAAAGGCCCTAGTCTCCATCTACACAGGAGCAAGCTGAAGTGAGCAGCACCTGAAGGAAGCTTATTCAAGGCTTGCCCCATAGCTCTGAGTTAGCTGCCTGGAGCAATGCTACCTACAACATACAACTGAGAGGATTGGTTGCATCTGGTTGGCAAGGGAAGTGAGCAGGCACAGTCAAGTCTTGACTTGAGTTGAGTTCCTAGCAAAGAGGAGCTCTTGGAGATGGGCCTGCACCGGGGTCCCAGTCCTGCCTTACTGCGTAGCCAATAGATTTTTTTTTAGAGACCATTTAAAAAAATGAACAAATTCAGTGTTGACCTCCCCACCCTCAGCTAAGGTGACCAAATAAGGTCACAAAGAAGAGGAGCCCTGAACACAGTAAGTAAAAGCCAAAGATGGCCGGTGAAATCTGTTATTTGAGAAACCAATAAAGCCAAACACCAGGATGGGGCAAGACATGATGCAGCACATGTGGAGCCTGCAGTGTCCAGCCTCACCCCTGCCCACTCACCTCACTGGCCTTGATTGCTGGCTTTGGAACTTCCCAAATTCTCCTGGTGCTGTCCACTCCTTCCCAGACTGTGTGAGGACAGAAAATGCGTGGGTTACAAGGCCCTTCGCCACTGGTTATTACAGATAGGGGAGAACAGAGCCCCATCCACTTAGTAAACTGTCCTCAGGTAGCTGGAGATGGGGCCCAGTCCATTGAGTATAGCCCAGGCCCCCACAAAGCCACTGCCAGGTTGTCAAGTGGGAGGCTTGGCTGTCCCAGCCACCACTCTTCCCTCCTGAAGCAGAGTGCAAAGCATAAGGATTTTCATCCCCACAGGAACATTAAAAACAGTGACTGAAGAAGCCATGCAGTGTACACTGTACCTTGCCTACGCTAGCCAGAAGCTGGAGGCCAGAGATCTTTTCATCTGAACTCAACCAGAACTCAGCATTGTCATCAGCAGCAATGGCAAATTGAAAGTCCCCTGCCAAGAGATTTCCAGAGAAAAATGGTGCTCTGCATTGCTAGAAAGAAAAAATGCTTCCACTCCTGTCCTGATCCCTGCCTCCCACTGGGACTGACACAGCATTTACCCTTGACCCACCTACTCCCTCCACTGCTGTCTGGGACTCTCCCTGAGCTACCAAACACTACTAGTGCTTTTAACCCTCACCTTTCAGTTGTAAATAAAATGCTGACTGTTTTCTTGCCCTCAGAGAAGTTGGTTAGTCAACTGTCTTGCGCTGACCTTGGTTGAAATCTAACATGGAAGGGGAGGAGTCCATGCAGATTTCTTTCAGTGACTCTTTTAAAAAAGAGAGAAAGCGAGCAAGAGAGAAAGAGAATGTATGTGTGTGTGTATGAGAGAGAGACAGACAGTGAGAGTGTGTGTGTGTGTGTGAAAAAGAGAGAGACTCTGGATATGGCTATATTGCACAAGGCAGTGCTAGGAAGAGAGAGCTCCAAACCAGAAGTAGTGCAGCCTGGCTCTTCTTAGAGCTGATTAGCTCAGGCAAAGCTAATACAATACTGCCTGGGGCTTTATATACATACCCTGGGCATCACATCTGGGAATGTGATGGGTACAATAGAAAGTCCAGATAAGTAGCTGCAGCCATGTGTAGGTGCTTGGGGTTCTGTTCAGAATGAATGCATGGGGGCTCAAGGGCCAATGGATGGCATAGGTACCAGCAAGCAAGCTGTGCATGGCTAGAAGCCTGTGAATGGACATTTAGGGCAGGGTAAGTGGATACAGATGGAGGCACGGGGTGCATGCACTTATGAGGATGGATGTGTGTGACTGGAATATTGTGCATGTCAATGCACAAGTGTGTTAATGTACACATGCACATGTTGCTAATTTGTGTATTTGTACCAGCATTCACATGCTCATGGGGAGCATGTCTGTGGGTACTTACACAGGTGCTGTGTATGCAGGACAGAAGTTTTCCTTATAATGACAAATCTGTATTTCCCCTTCCAGTGACAACCAGGTGCATTTGATCTATGCTACTGAGACTCCCTGCTTTTTCAGAGTTGGACAGAATCCCCTGCACCTGGCTGGAGAGACATTGTGCAGGGCTTCCCTAGATGAGCGCGTTTCTGTCTAGCCTTGGGCAGGGAAGGAGAAGACAAGGGAGAGAGGATGCAGCACAAGAACCCCAACTGGCTGCAGTGCCTCCTCACCGTCAGTGAAAGGATGCAGATAGCCAAATATGCGGAGCCCGTAGTTGGTCCATTTGGGTGACACTGCCAGCTTCTTCAGGGTGGTTCGTGTCTAAGGGTGGAAGAAAAAAGTGACAAAGTAGGATGGAAACAGGAAGGGAATGGCGAAAGATAGGAGGGCCGGGATTGGTGTAGGAGGAGATGGACAAAAGGAATGGAAGAGAGGAGATGAGGGACTACCGGTGGTAGGACTAGGAGGAACAATAGGATACAGTACAGGAATAGGGCAGTACAAGGTGCAGTACAGGTAAGGGAGGAGAAAGGTGAATGAAGGGCCCTGAAAAGAGGTCATGAACATGGGAATGGGACTTATTGTCCACTAACCACTTGGACAGAAGTCTGCTTTGTTCAGTGTCAGAGTTCGAAGACACACGTCATGAGCCTCATGTTGCATGGCAAAAGATTCCACTGGTCCTTGCAAGATCTTCTTCGAGGCACAGTTCCCCAAAGGAGGAGGGAGATGTGGGAATGGGAGGATAAGGAAGAGGGAGGGCACAGTAAAGCAAAGAGGAGCAGAAGGTCTGGAGTAAAGGTGTGCAGCATTTGCAGAGGGAACGGATTCTCTATAGGTACTCACATGGGGGTAGAGTGGGAAGTGGAGGTTCCTTCTGAGCTGCTCAATGGAGCTGCCGCACCAGTCCTCAAACACATGGAGATTGGCCTGGCCCTGGAACTGGAGGAAGATAGAAGCACAAAGAGATAACCTTATGAATGGCTCAATCCCGACCTGCCCTCTATTTACCTTGCATGTGGGTGACTGGCACATAACTGAGAGAGAGTGATATGTTCAGTTTTTGAGGAGCCAGTCAAAGAAAGACAGTTTCAGCCCTGCTGAGGCTGTGGAGGTAGGGATCAGGTGATAGCTTGGTCCATATAAAAATCAGTGACAGCCCATATAAGTGGCTGAGCTGCAGGGGCCAGAGCATTTGGTGGAGTATGTTGGGCAGAAGAACTACTTTATGCAGGCATCTTGCTCAAGCTGAGGTATAATCAGTAAGCTTTGCCCTGAAGCAAGGGCCTGACATGAGCTCTGTGAGGCATCTTCTTCCAGGGGCTGGGGAGCTTCCTACCATGTGGGATATGTGTGTGAAGATCATAATCTATATGAGCAACATGACGTGGGACAATGTGTTTGTCGCATGATTAGCGAAAATCATTCTGCAGTAGTTTATGCTGAAAAAGGGTGCATTTGCATATGAACACACTGTCCCTATGTAACGCTTGATCAAATTTGGTTGAATTTAATGGCATTTTCCATTAACCAATGTTTTTGTAATGTTTCTTCTACCAAAATCTGTAATTTTAAACACTTTGTGCCTCACTGGATGACACACAGTATCCAGGCTAAACCATGGGTTTATAAAAACATTACTCCAATTCAGTTAGGTTTAAATTTGCCAATGTTAAAACAAGTTTTGTCTATTCCAGATGTGCATGCTATGGTAAATTCTATTAAACAGCACAATTGTGAAACCAGGGTATAGATTAAACATAATAATAAAAAGGTTTTCCAGTATTGGAAAAAGTCTAAAGAGCAGCGAGACATCCTTGGTAGGAAGTTTTGCTAGGATGGAGTCATACTACCCAAGGAGTTTTAAACTTAATACTTCACCCTATTGTGGTGATAATTGGCATCCAAATTGCTATCATCACCTTTGTTGTTGTTTTAACTGGCTGGACATATTGCCAAGTTTATCAGTTGCACAGAGCTTTTGCTAACCTCTACAAGACCCCCACTACAAGTTCTTATATTGGAGGAACTAACAGGTGTACACTCCATGAAGACGAAGTACATTGGCGTGATAACCCCTCCATGGAGGAGTTATCAGAGGGGTGACTTGTTGGGATCTAGAGGCCTTCAGGCCTGGGTTTGACTTTTGCGTTTAGCTCAAGCTGCATGCTTAGTAGGGGCGGGCGAAGCGGGCCCTATTCGATTCAGATTTGGATTCAGCCCGAATCAGGGACAGCGATTTGATTCGTTGTTTCCGATCACTGTCCCTGATTCAATTCAGCCAAATCCGAATCTGAAGATTCAATGCTGATTCGGACATAGACACAGCTTTAAATATTTTTTCTACGTACCTTAGGGTACCAGTGTGGCTTGTGAATGCTGCAATGCTTAGGCAGATGGAGCATCCCACAGGAGTGAGCGGGATGCTCCACATGCTTGGCGGTGAACCCAGAAGTGGACTGGAAGTACTTCCGGTCCACTTCTGGGTCCACTGGGGAGCGCACTGGGGGCCCCCCACATCTCTCCACCTTGGCGATTGGCTGCAGGGGAACCCTGGGTGTCGCCCAGACCGAGGAGGCACCAGTCGCCGAGCCAGGGGAGTACGGGGGGCTCCCCAGCACGCTCCCCAGCGTACCTGGAAGTGGATCAGAAGTGCTTCAGGTCCACTTCTGGGTCTGCTGCTGAGTGCGCTGGGAAACCTCCTGTGCTTCTGAGGGATGCTCCATGCACCCCAGCATTGCAGCACTCACAAGCCGCCTGCTACCTTGAGGTGCATAGACAAAACATTTAAAGCTGTGTCTATGTCTGAATCTCTGAATCTTTCTGACTCTCTCCGACTCGATTCAGAGAGATTAAAGGGTCCTCTGATATGATTTAGCTTTGGAGATTCAGCCACTGAATCAGGCCAGATTTCCACAAAATTGAATCAGGGACTGAAGCTTCACACAGCCCTAATGCTTAGCTTGAACTGTGGTCGAGACATGCACCCAGTGAAAGGAGCAGATAGAAAAATACTGTCCCTGACTTAAAACAAAGCAGGAAGTTGGCTAACTAAGTTGAATAAATATAACCTGGGCAAAAGAGGAACAGTCAGAGCAAAACCTAACCCCACCTAGGAATGAAAAGATTACCTCAGAATAGAAAATTCCAGTTAAAGGTAACCATACTTGGCAAACAGAAGCTTTATTAATATGCATTAGGAGGAAGACTTAAGTTAATATGTATAGAGAAATGCAAGCTATATGGTATATAAAGAGAGGTGAGAGAGTGTACCCTTGGGAACTCTCCTGAAGAAAGTCTGAAGAGATCCTGTCACTGATCCAAGATCCTGTCTCAATATCAGACTTGGAAGCCAGGAGCTCTGGACAAGACTTCATGGCCCGACCAACTGGTGAAGCTGCGTTTGCAGCATCATGGGGTGGTGAGCATCTCCTTTGACTAGCTACAAACCTAAATTTTTTAACTGCTAATGCTGCTTCAGTTTTAATTAGAATTGTATCTGTTAGGGTTTAATAAACTTGCTTTTAATTGGGGACTACCGTGCCCTAATCTCCTTGCCTGGTATAAGACCTATTATAGCATTGTAGGGACCAGCTTACACACGGTGCTCTTTCAGCCAACTGGGTATGCTGAAATCCCCTACCAAGAGCTTGCCCCCCACACTGCATGCAAAGTGTATCATCAGGCCATGACAGTGGGCCTCATCCCAGGGGCTCACATGAGACATGCAGCAAGAGCATCCCCTTTGGACACAATAATAGTGTGGGACTGAGTGATGGCCCTAAGAAACACGGGGTGTGTGCAAAATCCCTGTTATCCAAGAGAAAAAGTCCTAAGGACTGACAATCAGAGAAACAGAAGGAGAGAGAGAGAGAAAGAAATGAACTCATCAGCTCCCTGTGCCAGAAGCGAAGTGGGAGGCGGGACGGGTTCTGTTATGGAGCAGGGATGTGGAGGAGGGCGTCAAAAGGGTATGGGCAGCAGCCCCCCTTTACATGTGCAGGTAAAGGTGTGATATTGTGTGATCTGCACAATTGTGATTGTGAGATCACATATTAGATCCAATTGTGCCATATTGCTGGTGCAGGGGGAGCCCAGTCCTGGGCGCCTCCTGCACTGGCAAGAAACAGACTGTCATGGCTGAGAGCTTCCTTTGCTGAGGGGGCTCCACAGCAGGGGCTGAGAGACCCCACAATTGACAGGGCTCCTGGTCCAGGCTGCTCCTTGCATGTAGCCAGGACCAAGAGCCCAGCAACTGATGGGGCTCTCGGTCCCAGCTAAATGTGAGGTGCAGCCCTGACTGGGAGCCCCATCAGTTGCTGCAGCTCTAGCTCCCGGTTACATGCGAGTTGCAGCTGGGGCTGAGAGCCCAGTCAGTTGTGGGGTCTCGGTCCCCGCTGTGGGTGAGAAGCTGAACTGAGAGCCCATGTGGACTGGGGGTTTCAATCCCCAGGGCTTGGGATTTTTACACTAGGCAAGGTGTACCTTTGTGGCTGGGAGCTCTGGGCCACAGGGGAGACCTTGCTATGTGTGCAAATTAAAGCTCAACAGCAACCAGCTATAGGGTCAGTACACATTTCTGAGGCCTAGCTTTATAGCTGGTTGGAGTTTTTTATCATGTGATAGCTACTTTGCATGTGTAGCTGGTCTTGATGTAATTGTGCAATTTCCTAGTTAATTGTGCAATGCCTGTAATACATAGAGGGATCCGCAGCAGCTCATGTAGCTATTCAGCAGACCAAAAGGAAAATGTTTCTGTGACTGCTAGGAATTGGGCTGAAGTCTCTGCATAACTGAGCAGGCTACAGAGCAGGGGTGGGCAATTATTTCAGATGGAGGGACACTTACTGAGTTTTGGCAAGCCATTGAGGGCTGCATGACAGGCGGCCAGGGGCAGATAGCTATTTTCTAAATTTTTTAGGGGCCCTGCAGACTGGATAGAATGACCTGGCGGGCTGCATCTGGCCCGCAGGCCGCATTTTCCCCACCCCTGCTACAGAGAGTGGGGTGGCAGGTTGCTTGCAGGATGTAGAAGAAATGTGCTCCTCAAGGGACAAGGTCATAAGCCACAAAAGGGAACAGGAGTTGAAAGGAGCTAAAACAGCTGAGCACTAAACTCCTCCTGGCAGAGAGGTACGTGAGGTTGGGGACTTGGGTGGTTGCTTGAAAGCAGAAAAGCATTGCTCTGGATAA